TTTATCTGAGCCATATTTATATTAGAAGACTCAAATAAACTTTACATACAGGAAATCATCACCAGTCTGACAACTCCAGTTCCCTCACCCAGTATTTAAAGGGTAAGTTATACGTAATATTAAAGTCTTTCTCATCATCTTTTTACACACTCCTTGGAAGCTGTGTTAAGATACCCATTATGGTTCCTTATGCTCTCTAAACACTAAACACATCTCAGTGTTTACAACTTGCATGACAAGAAATACTAAGCACATTTTTCCTGCCTGTTTTCTTAGTAGTTATTCCTATCATTACTTGAACTGACAATCCCTGAAACAATTTATCCTTGATTTGGTTTACCTTTTTTTTTTGTTTTTTTGAGACAGGGTTTCTCTGTGTGGCTTTGGAGCCTGTCCTAGAACTCACTCTGTAGACCAGGCTGGCCTTGAAATAACAGAGATCCGCCTGCCTCTGCCTCCTGAATGCTGGGATTAAAGGCGTGCTCCACCACCACCACCAACACCACCAACACCACCACCACCACCACCTGTCTTGGTTTACTATTAAACTGAACAATACATTAGATTTCAAAGTAATAGAAGACTAGTCATGTTCAATTACAAGAACATAGAAAAAAATCAATTGGCCATACAGGCAGACACTCACAGGATACCACAACTGAACAAAATATAAAGATCAAGAGATCATGGGGATCTGAACACTAACAGATACATCTATTTACTTCATAAATTGCTCCAGAAATATTGTGGAATAAGGGTCAGAAAGACAGTGAGAGCCAGAATACCAGGAAGTGTGCTGTGAAGCAGTCTCTCCTAGAAATGGCTGCATAAGCAAGACCAGAACAATAAATATGTTGATATGAATGTGGGTAATTTTGAGAGTCCAACCCCTAGACAAAGAATTAGGCTCTATTAGGGATGAGCTCCCTACTGATCATCCATACACAAAGTGGTAAGCCCTGCTGATGGCTATTCCTTGTTGTCAATTTGATTACTTGTGGAGTTAACTAAAACCCAAGAGATAAGTGGAGCAACTACCCTGAATTTGGAGAAACAAAACTAAATGAATATGGGCACACATGCAGAGAGAGACAGAGAGACAGACAGAGACAGAGACAGAGACAGAGACAGAGAGAGCAGTGGTTCAGTCTACAAGGATGGATGTATGAGCTGGTCTTCAGTAAACTTTGGAATTCCCCACCCCGCCCCCCAAAATAGGCTCTTATACCAGTGAAAGGATGAACTTGGCAGTGAGATTGAGAGCAAGAAGACAAAGAGCAAAGATGAGAGAGTTTTCTTCTTCCATGTCCTTTATATAGGCTGCCACCAGCTAAGATTTAAGGTGGATTCTCACACTTCAAAACATCTGAGTTTAGATGGGGCATCCCACTTCAAATGATTCAATCAAGAAAATTCCCTCACAAGAAAAATCTAAGACTCTTGGGTTTTAGTTAATCAAATATTTTTTTTTCAAAACCTGGTTTCTTTGTGTATCTTTAGAGCGCATCTTTGAAAACATTTTGTAGACCAGGATAGCCTCTAACTCACAGAGATCTGCCTGCCTGTGGCTCCAGAATGCTAGGATTGAAGGTATGTACAACCACTGCCTGGCTTCACAATGTATTTATTTAAAAAGAAAAAAGAAAAGAACAAACAGTTGAGTGGGTAGAGAGTGGGGTGAATCTCAAAGAAATCACAGTTGAGGTGAATATGATGAAAATGATTTGAACAAAATTCTAAAGAATTTTTTTTTTTTTTGGTTTTTCGAGACAGGGTTTCTCTGTGTAGCTTTGCGCCTTTCCTGGAGCTCACTTGGTAGCCCAG